GCGCACACACGCAAACACGTACGATCACACACACGCGCGCATGCACATATGCACACACGTATGCACACACACACACACACACACATACGCACACACACACACGCGCGCGCACACACGCAAACACGTACGATCACACACACACGCGCGTACGCACACACACGTACGCGCACACACACGCGTGCTCACACATACGCACACACACACACGCGCGCGCACACACGCAAACACGTACGATCACACACACACGCGCGTACGCACACACATGTACGCACACACACACGCGTGCTCACACATACGCACGCACACACACACACACACGCACGCATTTTCATGTGAGTCTGCTAATATACGTCTGCTAAAACACCCAAGGAGCCAGGGCATGATTGCGCGCCATTCTATCGTTAACGTAATGCATTTTTGTTCATTCATATATATATATTATATATATCTTTTATTCCTTGGTCGTTTTTACAGCTTCTACTTGGTAGTTCAACAAGTGAGTATTCGTATTTGTGAAATATTCGTATTCGCATGCATATATCGCCATACGTATCGTATTCGTGACCTAGTGTATTCGTTACAGCCCTACTATACATCATTATTAAAAATGTTTCAATTACGTTTGTTTCATTTATAGCTTGCACAGCAGCAGCAGTCACGGATCCACAACGCCGGATCGGGGCATTACCAGGTTGCCTCGGCCGCGGCGAAACTCGACGGCGGCACATTTGCCGGCGGCACGGCGACGACGACGACGACCCGCGCTGGATACGACCCGGGCTACCCTTCTCCGCCGGCGCCCTCCCCGCGGCAGTTTCCCGAGGTCGCGTCGCCCGTGCAGGGAGCCGGAGGCGGTGGAGGAGGAGGAGGAGGAGGAGGAGGAGGAGGAGGAGGAGGAGGACAGATGCGGGCGAGCATCCAGGACGTCATCTCGTCCGCTGTCACGCAAGAGGTGCGCGGCTCGAACAAGGCGCCCCCTGGCGGTGGCGGATACGTCGCGAGGCAGTCGTACGGCGTGCAGACGATGACGACGACGAGCCGCGTCGGTGCATGGGGCGGCGGCGGCGGCGGCGACCATTACGCCGTGGGGGACGGTGAGGGCTTCTCATCCCGGGACGCTCATGCGGGCTGCACCTCGGTGAATGGCAGCCCGCAGGCGGCCGACGCGCGCTACTACCCGCCGGGCGGTCCCGCACCCACCCGCCAGAGCGCGCCGCCCGACGCCGCGTCGCCGCGTCTGCCCGGCGGCACGGGGTCAAAGGTCACGCCCGAGCTGCTCTACGAGCTGTACGACGGGCGGCACATGGCGGCGGCGGGGACAGAGGGCGCCACCGTGTCGTCGCACCGACTCGTCAACGCGGTGCGACGCGACATGACCGTGATCATGCGAGCGGCCGACCCCGTTGCCGCGACGACGATGCCGACGCTCCCGCCGGCGAATCACAGGCCGCCGCCGCCGTTGCCAGCGCGCGAGGGGCTTGGGCACCGGCTGGCCGAGGGCCGCGAGGACGGGCGCTCGCCGCCAGGGGGCGCCTGCGAGAAGCGGCGGACGGATGACGGCACGGCGCGGGCGCCGAAGAGGCAGCGCGCGGAGGGAGAGCGCGAGCGCGTGATGACGAATCTATCGTCGCCGCCGCCAACGCAACCTGACTACATCAACAGCTTCCTGTCGTTTGTCACCAAGGAGCACAAACCGGCGGCGCCCCCTACGTCCGCCGCCGCCATTGCCGCCGCGGAGGAAGAGTACCGTGCCAAGTACCACTCGTACGTCGGGCGACCGAGTGTGAACGGAGAGGGGGCGCCACTGCCCGGGTTCCCGGTCGTGAGCGACGACCGGCTTGACCTGCGGCCGGCCGCCGTCAAGCTGACGCGCGTCGCCGTCGACGACGCCGCCGCTGCTGCGGGGGCGCCACCATGGCGTGACACGTCCGACGTCGCTCCACAACCCGGATACGCCACCGCGGCGTCGGCCGGGCAGCAGCGGGAGTTCCTCCAACAGGGGGCGCCGCCGCGGCAGGAAGCTGCCGACGGCGAACTTCGCGACTGCTTCGTCGACTGCTCCTACATCTCGCCGACGAAACTTGCGCAGGAGGCGCCACCGCTGCCGGCAGCAGCGGCGCCGCGGCGGCGCGCCAAGAAGCCGCGCGTTCCGTCGCTGCAGCTGCAGGCCCAGACGTCGACAACGTCGTCGGACAGCGAGACGGATGACCGAGACGCGCGGCCGCCGCGACGCAAGAAGGCCAGCAAGCTCGACTTCCTCCGCCGCTTCCGCGCGTCGACGGAGGGGGAGGCGGCGGCGGCGGGGGCGGGAGCAGGGGCGCGGACGGACGAGAGCGGGGAGGACGCGAGCGGCGAGGGGGAGGTCGACGAGAGGATGAAGCCCGCGGAGGAGGCGCCCGCGGTGAAGGAGGAGGAGGAGCGCGAGGAGAAGGCGGAGGAGGAGAGGATGCCGATCGCGGGAGGCGGAGACACGGCGCCGCCGGCCACGACGAATCCCGTGAAGCGGGAGGATGCGGTCGCCGACGGCGACGGAAAGGAGGCGACGGCGACGACGGTCGTCGTCGTCAAGACGGAGGTGCCGAACGGGGAGGTCGCGGTGAAGAAGGAGCCAGGTACTGGAAGCGGCGGGGAGGAAGGGGAGAAGGACGGCGAGAAGAAACCGCCAGAAGACAGCAAAGACAAGAAAGAACGTGAGAGAATAATAATGATAATCTTGCTAATTAGTCATAGTATGAAATTTTAACTAAGCGACTAGAGTCTGTTGGCGCTTTTGGAGTCCGTTTTTTTTTAAGAGTAACAGAGCAAAACTTCGATTTTCGTTCGGTAACTTTATTTCCATTTATTTCTAAATTTACATTTGTAGTAAACAATCATAGCTCCTTTTGCTTCTTTGCTGTTCATCTAGTTTTGGGTAGGGGGAATGCCAAACTTTGTTTATTTGCACATGATAGATATACTCCAGCAAGTTCGTTCGATCAAATTTCAAATTTGTAAATTTCTTGTTACTTACGTTCTTGAGCTCGTTTCCTACAATCTTAAAAAAATGAAAATAAAAAAATGAAAAAATTAGTACAAAAATTTTATTAAATAAAAAAATGAATGAAATAAAAATTTCTCTGCAGTGGTGAAGCCGCTGCCGAAAAAGAGGGCGCCACCGCGGCGCAAGGACCCGAACGTGTTCCTGCAGTGCGGCTCGTGTCACGAGGTGCACTGTAAGATGGGGCGCTGCCGCGAGTGCCGCGCCAGCGAGCGCACCAAGGACAAGACGAGCATCTTCTGTCGCTTCTACGCGTTCAGGAAGTGAGTTTGTCTCCCTTTCGTCCTCTTCTTCTGCCTCTGCATCCGCCTCCTCAATTGAACTTTTGCACGACACTTCGCTTCAAAATTTACGTCATTTTAGATTCGTGTCGTGACAGCCATCCCGCTGGATTGCTTTCCCGAATCAACCAGTTTACCCGATTTCCCCCCAAAGTTGTACCGATGTCGCAAACCCTCTCCGCTTAAAAAATACCCTTTGTTTTTGGCCGATGTAAGAGCATGCGTGCGTACTTGCGGGTTGAACCCTCCTAAAAAATAGCCCTCATTAGTGCGCCTTGACTGAGTGTATGTGCGTGCATGCGCGTATATGAAAAGTATATCCCTTGCTGGGCAGCAGGTAAGCACACGTGCGCTTGTGCGTTGCAGGCTGCGACGGACCGGCCGCGGAGGGCTGAACGCGGCGGGATTCTCGGAGCCGGGCGACGCCAGCAAGGATGACCTACAGATGTGGCTGCCGCAGCCCGGCAGCGTGCAGGAGCCGCGCCTCGACGTTGAGATGTCCAAGTACATTCTCGCGAGCACGGGCAACCAGTTCTGCCAGGTCGTCGAGCAGGAGAAGCAGGCGCAGTCGTGGTCGAACGGCACCAGTGAGTTCTTGTCTCGCGCGCACGAGACAGCGGTCGTCATCACAAGTTCCTATAGCCTGTCTCTGCACCCTTCCTCCCAAATGCATCCCGCGACAATCCGCCCTCCCTCCCCCTTCCCTCATCGCCTCTTATCCTCCA